TTTAAAGATCTAAGCATACATACGGACATACAGCGAAAGCGACTTTGTTTTATACTATGTATTGAAGGAAGATTTTTTTTAAGTTATAGAGGATTCAATGGAATTAAAAAATAATTTTGCTCCCAAGTATATACAGCATAATATATATTTCAACTAAAATTCAACTATGGTTCGAAACTAGTAGAGCTTTTTTCTAGTATTATTCCTAATTTGAAGTCTGCAACGAGTCTAAATTAAATTGTGCTTAATGTCAGTATTCAAATAAAAGGTCAGTATCATCGTATCATTCGAAATATATTCAGATCACATATCATCTAGTTCATATATCAGACATTTCCTCACAATATTGTTGTACACAGATCTCATAATTCTTTTTCTCTTAAGTTGTACGTGATCGGACTTAAGCTATTGTACTTTTCCGTTATGAGTGTTTAAAGCAACACTAACGATATATACCTCTAGAAAACATTACATAAATATTCTCTCGAATTATTATTAGCTACTAGCTGTTGTCGGCGACTACGTCCAAGTAGAATATGAGGTTTAGGACATAACATTTGTTTGTTTCAATTTTCCAAAATAAAAATAGCCTATGTTACTCCTTAGTACATTAGCTACCGGCTAGTAAAACTTCTGTGACAGTCGGTCGAGCCATTTCAGAGATTGCCCGTACAAACAGACAGAGAGACAGACAAAAAAAATGTTATTTTGGTATCGTATGTATATTCTTATGCATGTTGTAAAAAGCGGTTATTGCGATATTACAAACAGACACTCCCATTTTATTTATCTGTGAATCTCCATATTGTAAACAGTTTGAACATTTGAACGAAAAATTCTACCTAAAAAACCTACGATTTCTAAAAGTATATCTACATTTGCTTATTCCAAAGTATTTCAACCATTAAACGACTATAAGCGGATAACATACACAGAGAACATAAAAGATAATATCATAAGGACAAACCAAGGACACAAGCAAATACGTGTGTTGAAACATACGATATACTGCCAAAGCAAATGTAACAAAAGCATAAAGCAAGTACCTGCATTTTATCTGTGAGACACTTGCACAATGGGACGTGGATTAACGAATACCTAACGTACACTGAACTGAAATGGAGTACATAACTCGAGCTCTTACAAAACTACTCAAAGGATGAAAGTTCAAAGTATTCAGTGACAAGAAAAGAGCGACCTTCTTGCGACAAAGACCACAACAATAGCAACAAAAGGTACACAAGCACTAAGTACGCTTTCTGCATTCCTTTGTGTGCCGCCGCGCTAAAACACTATTTATCAACTTACGTTTTTTTGTTGCGAGGTATTACTTCTCCTCTCTCCACTTCGAACAGTGGCACCACAAATACTGTCTTTAGAAACACACAACCAGAATCTCTTCTTTGATTACCCATCAACTTTCTAAGCATTTTCAAGAATTTCGGCGCCAAACCATTACTTGGCACCATTTCTATATCTGACACTAAGAAATAATTGGTCATTGATGCATTTCTCGCAACATTTCTACCGACATTAATTGGATACGTCATTAATGTATTTTTTCTGTAGGTTTGAACATTTTCTGCACCTGCACCTGAACAGTCCTCGAATTGTATGTGAGGCGGTAGGGGTTCTGTTCCTGGAATCCTCATCATCATGCGTTGAATTTTCTTTTTCCTCGCTTTCTGAATGTATTGTGCTCTATTTTTGTTATTCAAGCTGCGATAATTATGCAATTTCTGTGTCAACAGTTCTGAAGTATTTAAATTAGATGATTCAAATGTCGACGATGGTGTAGTGGTTAAAGCCATCTGTATTTCTTGCAACGTTCTCAACCTTGGTAGTATTCGTTTTGGGAAAAATAAATGAACCGAAACTTTTGCCATTTTCGGATAACAGTGGCATAGATGGTTCAATATCTGCATAGTAATATCTAAGTCATAGTTAGGTACGAACACGGCGAGGCTAATGGGACCATCCCAAAACCTCGCTATTTCCACGATATGGTACAAGAATTCAGGCGTCGCTTGAGTAACATACGTCACTGCGTCAACTTTGCTGACATTCATATACACGATACTTTGAATGGCATTATATATGACTCCATACTCACTCCTACTTCCAGTTTCTGGGGACGGAAGTACTGAGATTTTACTCCATATTAGACTACGAGGAAGGCCATAGTTGAAGAGACAGTAACTTATGTTTCCGGGCTGTTGACCTCGTAAGAAGGTGCCTGGACTATAGTTAAAGTCACCGACACTGGGAGGTGGGGGCGGGTGCTCGTGGTGCCTGTATGCGTACAGCTGCAGGATTATAGTAACACTGAGTATGAAGAAAATTCCAAGAAATATGGTTGAGTGTTTCCTTGTCAACCTGAAGGAGTAGGCTCCAAATATCCGCAGGCATCTCGACATGTTTATCTATCATTGTTTTTAGTTATAATGTACTCCTATTAATCATGTTTCTACCTGGTATCACTGTTCAACGCACTAAGCACAAAAAACACAATGTTTCATACAATTTCATCGCATGTTATGAACGAAGAATTTTTGTAAACAACACAAAAGACAATGACATGAGATTAGAAGGACTGCGGCAAACTTCCAAACTCAAGGAGCCTCTATAGAACTTCACGACATGCTGGAATTCCGACGATTTAAAAGTAACACTGTGTTATTATTTATAAGCTCATGGAATTTGTCGTTTTTGTCAAAATTGATGTTATTTTCACATGAAATTGGCGATTACTTCAGCAGTAGGTAACGTCAGTTTGACAGTTGGTGCGCGCGCCGGTCACTGACAGTGTGCGCAATAGGGAAATCAATATTCCCGCCACACTGGTATAAATGCGTTCTCTATTGCCGAAATAATATTATTTTTGGGTTTTCGAAACACAGAAACATAATAAAATTCTAGAAAAAAAAAGGTCAAGAAGCTTACAGTTTTTTACGAAATGTTTTTAGTTTTTTTGTATTCTAAATTTTGTATCTTATATTATTTATACATAGATACAAATGGATTGTCAGAGAAAATTTACTGGTTTTCTTCGTTTCCTATACAAATGTTAGCTCGTTATTTCCTCATGTCACCCTTACCAGTTGTCGTATTCAAATCAATATGCTCGTTTGCATATTCTATTTTTAGACTGTCGTGACAGGAACTTTAGCATACATTCGTGCTTTTACATATGAACATAATAATTATGTGGTACGTTCTATATAGGAAAACGGATTAAATATGTATATCAATGTATGTTTGATGGTTTAATCGTACGGTTAATTTGAAGATATATTCTAATCATAATTTAAAATGAAATAAGATACTAACTCATAACTCATAAATGACTGCACGGTTTGTGCGGTGGCTGGGCAACCGGCTGCCGTGCAAAGTGTCGCGGATTCCATTCCCGCACGGAACAACACTTTGTGTGATTCACAAATTGTTGTTTCGGGTCTGGGTGTCATTGTGTATGTGAAGTTGTATGTTTGTAAACGCACCCACGACACAATTTTTTCCAAATTTTAAAATTTTAATCGTTTCTGTTTTTTTGTTATTCATGGAATATTAGCCTTGAGCAATTGATTACAACTATTATTACATACAATTTTTTTAAACGTTCCCCCACACTAAGATTTTCTCCTGTGTCGTTTACAAACATACAAGTTTACATACAGATCACACCCAGACCCGGAACGACAGTCTGTGGATCGTACAAAGAGTTGTTCCGTGCGGGAATCGAACCCGCGATACGTTACGCGACAGCCAGTTGCCCAGTCAGTGCACCAACCGTACAGTAAAATTGTATTTCTTACTTATATGAGAATAAAACTTTGTTTTACCATCACCTGTCGGTTTTCTGGAGCGTTCCATTTACAAAGTCAAAGTCAAAATCGTTTATTTCAATTAGACCAGAAAGGCTCTTTTGGAAGTCAACGAAAAAAACTAAAAGTGAAGCTATTTGGTCATTCTAAAGTGTAGAATACATTCTGTATAAAAAGATTTTCATAATTACATGCTTGTCAGGCAGGTTGAAGATCGTAGCTGTTGAAATGTTCAGGTCAATCAGAGAGCACTGCTATCTGGTCTCTGTCAAATTCGTGGTCGTTTAGTTGGTTTATGATACCCGCGGAAAGAGTAGAGGTGATGACTAGTTTAGTCTACAACATGGCTAAGTTCGGTTCAGTTTAGTCCAGAGAAAGTTCTAGAAATTGTTATGGCGGCTCCCTCTACCGATCTGAGTGACAGACCACATGACGTAAACTCAATTTAACTTTGTTTCTTCCATGTTCACGGGGTATGTTAATATGGACACGGCTTTATGAATACATTACAAAACTTTGATATGCTTTGAATAAGAAATCTGTTTTAGTTTGATATCTGTTTCTGACAGATTTGTTGGGTTAGTGGTCGCTAATGCAACTATAGATTATAAGACTCGAAAGCCGATTTTAATTGTGATTTTTTGGTAAGTAAACTTTAGACAAACAGTAGTAAATTCACCTTCTAACACCCACCCACATAATAATTATTTCACATTATGTGCCATAATCAAATTGTGTACATTAAAGACTAAATAAATAAATAATGAACACCTTTATCCAAAACTGACAACGACAACAAAGATCTAATTACCCAATTCCTAAAAAACACCCGTAGATTTTTATCTTTGAATAGTAACAATTCATTATTATACATGTACAGGTCATTATACTATTCAGTGGTATATCCACACTAATATTTAATACCCAATAGTGGCTATTCGATAGCCAAAATACGTATTCGATACGCTTATTCTCAAGCTCGAAATGATTACCCTACTTATTTGGACCTTACTGCCTGTATAACTTCCTAAAGTACTTTCTTTGATTAGTTATTAACACGTTAAACGCCATGGCAGTCACTGGTGACCGACATTAGCGGAGGATTTGCCTTCAACAGTTTTTTATTGGCAGCCAATGCCTTAAGCTTCCAATACCATTTTGAAGATATGAATGAAAAAAAACTAGACGTCATTTAGTATCCAATTACTCTTATAGCGTTCCATAAATAATTACAATATTACATTGCGTTATTACAGATAGACGTTAATTAACACAATACCAACCTTTATATCAGTTGCATGGTTATTAACTTGATTGATAAATAATAGAATAACATCTGAAAGAATTCTAAACCTCACAGAATGAATAAAAATTTCTAAATCGACTACCGAAAATACTTTTACCAAACCCCGATTTCCACCCTTCGACATCAATAAAGACGAAATTTACAAACGCTAAAAGAAGCATTCTTCTCTTTAAAAACAAAAAGAACAGCCCAGCAATAGATTTTAATTATACCCTCGAACAAAGATCGCAAAATTGGGCGTAAGTACACCGTGTAATTGCATTCAACTTTTAATGAGAAGTTACGTGTTTGGGAACTGGAAACACGCCACCAGTATTTGGAACTAATTTTGCTAAAGCCTCAGTCGAATCCAAGAAAACATGAAGAACACACAGGGAGATAAATTCAATGAGAACATTTTTGTTAAACCTTTATATAGAAAATTGAGGAATAGTAACAAAATTAAACCAAATAAAGTTATAATTGATCGCAGTCTGAATCTAGATGGTCATGGAATTTTTGTCAAAAGAAAAGTAATGAATGTTACAAATGGTGTGTCGTTTAGAAGGAAATATCTCAATAGCGTACATAGAGTTGCTAGTGGATGGAGTGAAGATAAAAATAGATTCTTTGATACAAAAGTGTGTGATGGTTTTAGTGGTTCCCGTAATATGTTAAGTGCTGTAGAAAATAGGAAGCCTAAAAGTGAGGTGAAAGGTGTTGAAGATAGAAATAGTAAATTGGTTCAAGCTGACGATGAAATAGTTGAGGTACAAAAAGTAAGTACCCATGAATTGTTCCTTAGTGCTTTATAATTTAAGCCCTACAAAAGATTACAATATAATACAAAATTGCTCAAATTAATACTTTAAACTTCTGTATTGTATTTATTCAAAACTATGTAGTTGTAATAAAATAACATCACGCCTTTTATCCCCGAAGGGGGTAGACAGAGGTGCACATTACGGCACTTAATGTCACCCCACTTTTCACTATTTATTTTATGAGTTCTATGTAATAAGGGGTGAGCGTATTGCCATATATCGTAATACTTTGCCCAACCGGGAATCTAGCCCGAGCTCGTAAAACCTAGAGCTACTTAAAGAGATTTACAGTAATTTTCACAATAATTCTACAACCTTGATACAAATAAGGCCCAATTACCCCACTCCTCTCCATTCTGCCCAATCCTCAAATTCTCAATTTCCAAAAGGCCGGAACTTGTAAGTCTTGTAACGCCTCCGGTTTTCCAGGTGTCCATGGTTTACACCGACTGCTTGCAATCAGGTGATCCGTCTGCTCGTTTACCGGGTTATACCATAAAAAACCGTACATAGTGAACTTAACAGCTCATTGCTCTAAATAAGCAAACTCTACCCATTCCCAAGCAAGAATATCAATCAAGAAAGTAATATAAGTTTTATATAGTTGCGTCGCTCTTGTATATTTTAACATCATTCCCGTGAAATATTTCTCGAGGCTACAAGACTACACATTTCGCGCTTCGTGTTAACTTAATTTTCCTAGAATTTTCTTTACAGCACACTTCATAGCAAGCACATAATTGAAATAACTTCTCGTACTTACCTACGGCTAGGAAGGAACGTGAGAAAATACCTCTCCATTTTAACATTTCACAAATTATAGTGTAAATTGGTAACAACACTTTCGGTATTTTTGTTCGAATTATAAGAAAAATT